CATAATTGATCAACGGCAATAAAATGGACAAATTGATCTTCATAGAAGATCTACATGGCAATAAAATGGACTTAATAAACTACCAATTAAATCTATCTAAAATTTTACCCGTCACAGCAGGCTATTCGATAATGCTTTAATAACTTCGTCAAATTCCTTTTTACTTACTTGCTTAAAATCGTTTTTATCTTGCTTTTTCATAAGTTTAAAATAATCTATAGTCCCATTAAATGGTTAATTGTATCACACACCTATCAACATAACCCTCTACCTTTAATTAATACAGTATATATTGAATTAAATTTATATATAACTTATTTTATTGTTGCTATCATCTTAGAATAGCCTTTAGATTATCCATAAAGTTTATCAGATCGACGGATGTTTTTTTAAGCCACCATGCAATTGATTGGTTGATTGATTCATTTTGTTTAAAAAGAGTTATCTTTTGTCTTTAATGAACCGAGAAAATTTTATTCAAGGAATTTCAATATTATTTAATACTGAATGGATAGCATTAAAGTTGGCTGTGGATATGCAATGGGTGAACTCGATTCAGAAGATAAAAGAGATTGGTTAATCAATGTTATACAGAATATTTTGATAAAAGTACCTTTTCTGATTTTTTTAATATAAACTTTCCCCCTTTTTTATTTGATTTAATGAAAATTTTCAAATTTTTTTTGGAAATTTTATGATGGTAAGGGTACCGATGTTGATGATTTAGAAACTATTCTGAATCAGATCATGGCTGATGAATTTAACATTTTATTAGAAGATGATTCAGCATATCAAGTAATATATATATATAATTCCTCCTAGTACTTTGAAACCTCAAAAGACTAATCTTTTATTTACGTTAGATATTTTAATACCTAATTAAAATGTATAATGATTGTAGTCAAGAAAATTACATAACAGTAGATTTATTAGAATCTAAACAAAAATCTACCAAACACAATTATTCATCTTCAAAGAAAGCAAAAAACAAGGATGAGGATGAGGAGGATGAGGATGATAGCAGTAATGATGATAATGAAATTTTACAAAATGGAGAAAGTTCGACGATAGAAGATAAATGTAGATAATTCAACAACTACATCAAAATTATCAAATAAACCCATCATTGATGATGATGGGTTTACTTTAGTAATAAGATATAAAAGAAGGATTAATTCGCATCCCATTTCCCGCTTATGAAACATTTAAAGATGATCCACTTCGAGTATTGAGATGTATAAGATTCGCAAGCAGAATTCAATTTGAGATTGTTGATGATGGGAAGGATGCCATTATAAAAAATGATAGTATCAAAGTAACGCAATCAGTGGCAGCAAATTATTTGTTTGTGATTGCATATTAACAATTTAATATTCCAATAGACAGCATTAAATGAGAAAATAAGTCGGGAAAGAAATTGGATTAGAGGTTGATAAAATAATATTTTAGGACTCGCGCCATTGATTTGATTCTTAATTTATGGATTTTATGATATAGTGTTCTCATCACCTTCACAAGAAACCATCTTATCTGGAAAATTTGAAGATTCGAAAATTTGTTTAAATACAGCAAAAATTCTTAAATGGTATGTATTATATCATCCAAACCTAATACTGAATAATAAATTAACTTATTGTTCTTGTGATTTTCTTAGGTTGTTATCTGATGAAAGTAAAAATTATGAGTTCCATCCTAAGTTTCGTCAATTAAATGAAGATGAAAAGTGAAAATTATATTTGGCAGCCTGTACATTACCTTATAAAGATATAATATATACAGAAAAGAAAAAGAGGCATCCAGTTTGCCGTTTTGTAATCCGCAATAGGTTTTGGGTGTGAATTCACTTTTTTTTTTTTATTTATTTTATGAATAAGTGTAAAGTCTAATCAGAATTTTGATATAGTTTTCGAATGAGGATGTTGATAAAACAAGCCTTTTGTCAATGTCTATTTTGTGAAGAACGCAGTGGCACAGAATTATGAAGCCCATTAAATAGAGTTGCACTAGGTAATTTATACATTCATTGTATTTAGAAAGTATCGTAAAAAGGAAAAAATAAATAATTCTTAAAGGTTATTTATTAAATTAAACTATAGGATTATTGATACGTGAATTTGGATCTAAAAGGTTAACTAATTTACTCTTTGCTTTGTCCAATGAGTTGATATCAAAATTTGACATTATGTATCAAGTTAAAGAAATTAGTGACAAATATACAAAGTTAATTGAAAGAGTACAAGAATTAAAATTGGAAAATGTTTTTAATGAAAAACCTATTCTGAACGTAAGTATCTTTTTTGTTTGTATCTAAAATTCTTATTAATACTTTTTGTTTTTTTTAAAAATAAATAAAAGAATAACAGGGTAAAGATATTCAGAATTTATTGAAAATTAAACAAGGTCCAGAGGTTAGAAATATTGAATTCAGTCATAGAATTGCAATTAGAATTCTTAAGTAAAAGTGAAGAAGAATGTAAGGAATTTATTAAAACTATATATGGAAAAAGATAACTAATTTGATAGTTTAATAATTAATTAATAAAAAATAAAAAATAAAAGCAAAATCCTTTCTTAATTAATCTGACTTGCCCTTTCCAAAAAAATATTCTATTCAATTTTTCAGATATACTCAAAATAATAAATTTCTAACGATTAACCATAATACATTTTTTCAATCACTTTTTAGACAGAAACAACGACTTTTACATATACCATCATATTCACCAATAAAATGTCAACAAACAGCATTTCAAATAGCATTTAAGCAAGCAGGATGAGAATTTGTTTGTTTTTTAACATTTTTATTATTATCGTGAAGAGGATATCATGTTTATATTGAACATTTCTATATTCAACACCTACAAAATGATAACGTCCAGTGAGAGATTGTCTAAGGGGAGCTATTATACGCACAAAAATATCTCCTTATTCACATACAGCGGAATTTATTTAAGACAAGCATTACAAATTATACTTGAACGGGATAAATTAGATCTAAACGATCAGATATTCTAAATCCTTGGGGATAATTATATGTGAAGGGGAAATTTAGAAGATGCAATCTTGCAATACAGACAAATATTGGAATTTTTATTACAACAACATCTATTGAGGGAAGGAAAAGAAGGATTGAGCGAGGTGATTGATATTGCAAAGAAGTTGGGAGATTTATATATTAGAATTCTTATATTACAGCAGAAAATATCTCGTATGGGAAATTGGGTTATTACAAGGAAATATTATTGAATTATTAAATAAAGATGATGAAGTATATTAGAAAATACCTCAATATTTAAGAGTACTTCATTATCAAAGATTTTATATCGATCACAGATTTACTTGCAGGCTTATATGCAAAACAAAGAAAATACGATTACGCTTTACCACTTTATTTAAGTTTATTAAAAATGATACAAGAGAAAGAAAGTTTAAAATTGAAATGTTGGGAAGTTATAATTAATGGTCACATCGGAGAAATTTTTTTTGCTATGGGAAAATATGATGAAGCTTTGATATAGCTAAAATGGTGATGGGAACAGAAATTGTGATGAATGCGTAGGTGTTATTCTTAATAATACATGAAAGAAGAGAAAATAATGAATTAGCCGTTACTTTGTATATTAATGCTATAGAATTTGCTGAAAAAGCACAAGATTTTATTGGTATTGAAGATTTTATCAGAAACTTGAATCGTGTGCGAATATAAGAAGAAAATTCTGAGCAAGTTTCCAATGAAACAATATAAATAAACCATGTAACAAATGTCCTACTATAAATTAAAACATGTGAATATCCATTAATATAATGAGAAAAAAATATATTAAGGGTTTAATCTCAGAACATTTTGATCATATGAGACCTTTGCAATAGAAAAGGGGGAAACGGCTGGAAAAAAAAAAAATGAGTTAATGCTAAATCCGAACATATTTTGACCTAAAAATCATATTTGGCTTATAAAAGTAAAATTAATTTTTTCCGGCTGTTTCCCCCTTTCTATTGCAAAAGTCCCATATATTTACTCGCTGGTTGAATTATTAGTTATTACCAAATCCGTACATTACGTATATATCTGGGTTTAAATCTGAATGTCGACTCCAGATGATGACTTTTCAAATGAAAGTTTAATGGATGAAGAAGAAGAATATAAGAATACTGTCATGAGTTTAAATTAAGAAAATATGGGAAATAAATGATGTAACTGGACTTGATGATCAATATGTAAATTTATTGATTTTTTTTTTTTATATTCTTTAAAAATATATAAAGAAATGATATTATAAAAGAAAGTGATCTTTTTGCTATATATGATTTGCTTATCTCGTTAAACAAAAATAATAAATTTTAAATTCAAAAATTGTATTAATATCAGAAGGTTTCGCCATCCGTCGAAACTTTTGCAATATTGCTTTTAGTAAAAATATTTGGCAAAACGTTTCAACGGGTTTCGATTTCGATGCCTGTCGAACACCCCCCCCCCCCCGGGTTTTGCCCGGAAACCTTACACCTATCGCTCTGTAAATGAAGATCACTACAAAATGATTCTCATAATAACATCTGCTTTTTCAGTATTATACACATAGCTTAAAATTGAATCTTCAAAATTATCCTTATTCTGACATATTTCTCCTGTTTCTCTTACTTTAAGAAAGTAACTGTATGAGGTATATTATCACATGATCCATCTAAAGATAATGGAAATGATATTTAAATTAACAATTGTTATATCAATGATTCTATCAATCTTTCTATATCTAGGGAGTAAAATACCATTACCCAAGAGCAAATAATTGGAAAGAATTTTGACAATTATTCTAACACCCCACCAAGACGTTTTTTCAACTTCTTAGTAATTATCTAATTTCTTTATCCTTTCAGCATATTCCACAGCTTTTGCTCTACATACACTCGCAATCTCCCATTCTAACTTTTAAACCAGCTGACAAGAAAGAACCCTCTAGATAAATCATGAGGATCAATGAAGGCAAAAGTTTTATTTAATTCTGGATCGAGAACTTCAAGCAAAGCAACAGATGGGTCTCCATGTTTAATTAGAACAACTTTATAAAAAATAAATATTTAAATAAACGAGTCATTTATAAATATGAATGAAAAATATTATTAATGAAAAAAAAAATTTTAATCGGCCTAAAATCTTTAACCGGTTAATAACCGGTTTATTAACCGGTTAAAATTAATCGTTCATACGCCAAAAATGCACCCAATATATTAGGAAAATCTATTTCGAAAATTAATAAAACCTCAACGTTAACAACTTAATGGACTCGTTCTTTTTTTGTCTTAACAAAAACAAATTCTTTTGATGTCCTTTAAATTCTGACCTTCACGTTCATTGAGATACGATAACGAATATTTAACATATAAATATTGTACTTTTATTGAGCAGTCAAGTTAAAATGTAGTTCTGGTGAAATGAAACATCACTAATTACATAAGCCAAAATACGCCATCAATCACCCAACCAAATTAATCACAACCGATAACAAGTTATTATTATTTATTGATAACAAAGAAAATTTTGTTTTAAAAATATTATCATACAGTTAAAATTTACAGTTACTATGAGCAATGCATTTGATTGGTACGTAATCCAATTACCGATGAATATCTCGATGACCCGTGAGGTTACTATAAATAATATTACCAAATAAAATGTAAAACTTGCATGAGTCTCATTATTACTATCATGAATCGTCAAAATTCACAAATATTCTTGTGAAAAACAAAAATCAATCGAGTTTTGGCGTAACAATTTAATCTGGATCAGGTAAATCATAAGGAAACTGTGATTTGCAAATTAAGCGCAGTTTCAATTTAAATGTCTATTTATATCACTTTAAAAAAAAAAACTATAAAAAAAAAAATTTTTTTTATTCTTTACTTCCTATAAGTTAAAAAATCCGGATGATAAACAATGCCTTCATTATTTTTAACGATGACAACGATGGACTGGATAACGGTCTCATCTATGGTCATAGGAGCTTACGTTTTACGATATTATTATAATTATTTTACGCGTAAAAATCCTCTTCCTGGACCAATTCCGTTCCCTTTTGTTGGAAACCTGTTACAACTCGGTCTAGATATTCCCAAGGTGGCAAGGCATTTAGATTTAAAATATGGAAATATATCTGAAGCATACTTTGGTTCCCAACGATCCATTTTTGTATCAGGATTAGATTGCGTGGAAAAAATCTGTTCTCCTAATACATCCATCAAGGATAATAGTTTTATGTATAGGATACCACCAAATGAAGGATTTTATGAAATAGGTTTGGAAAGAAATGGTGTGGTGTTTAATAGAGATTTAAAAGATTGGAGTATTAATCGTAGAATGCTTACTCAAACCTTGATGTCTACCGGATTTTTAAGGGGCACCATTCAATTGGTTGAAAAGAATTGTGACGAGTTATTTCAATATTGGGATTTATTAGGTGTCTCGGCAAATGATAATCGTACCGTGATTGAATTACCAAAGTGGATGAAAGCGTTTTCTAATGATTTAATCATTGAAACCATCCTGAGTAAAAAAAGTTATGCGAAAGCAAATTACTTAAATCGTATAACTGACAACAAAAAACTTGACATTCCTCAAAATCTTTTAAAGCAATCCGGTGAAATCATCGATAACCTCTCTGCTTCCTTAAAGGGTGGAATGTTTATCATGAACGTACCAGGTTATATTAGACGCTCAATTTTTAAATATTTTAACAATAAGATTATTGGTTTATTTTATGAGGTTGAAGAAGTGTTTGATAAAAGGGTGAAAGAAAGGCGTCAAGAGATTGAAGCGATGCCCGTCGAAACAGAATTACCATGGGATCTTTTGACCTTGATGATTACGACGAATACATCACGTGATCAAAATAAAGTTAGGTTGGGGGAACCTTTATCCGACATTTCAATCCGTAAGATTATAATGGAATTAATCGTTGCGGGAACTTATAATATTATGTCCTCGATATCTTTTGTCTTGGCTTACCTTTGTAATCATCCTAATGTCAAAGATCGGTTGATTGAAGAAATTGAACAAGTTTATGGCGTAAATTCATCACCAACGATTACGTTTGAATCACTTGATAAACTTCGTTACTGTGAGGCTGTAATTCATGAAACTGCTCGTATTTCTCCGACAAATGAAGTATTCTTTAGAACCTCAAGTAATCAAGTTGAACTTTGTGGTTATACTTTTGAACCAGATACATTGTTTTGGACAAATTTCTATAGTCTTCATCATAATGAAAATTATTGGGTTGAACCAGAAGTATTTAATCCTGATAGATTCTTGAATAATAATTTGGAAAAGCCAAAAGCTTTCTATCAATTCGGTGGGGGAGTTAGGCATTGCCCTGGTAGATTCCTTGTTATGGTACAACATAAAATTTTTCTTGTACGTTTATTTTCAAAGTATGATATTGAGTCAACTATTCCAAATCAGCCTATTATAAAAGGTTTTATGGGAGGTATCATTACTTGTGAGAAATTTGATGTTCATATTAAACCTAAAAAGATTTGAATTTTTGTTGTATTTGTTTTTTTATTTTTATTTTTATTTTCTTAATAAAAAAAATCGAGAATTTTGTACTTTTATTATAAATAAAAAAACTTTCATGAGATCTTACTGCCAATTACTTGAATGAATAAAAATAAAAGAAATTCTTTACTTTAATGAATATTGGTCAGTCCAATAGTACGTTTTGAACGTTGAAATTTCGCATTAATTAATAATTCAAACCAGCAGTTTTAAATCTCCATAATTTTTTAAATGATCGTCAAAAACAAATAATTTTAAATCTAATTTTTTTTTTTTTCTTTTCGAAAATGCCTTTCCAATCAAAAGAACAAAATACATTTATGAAGAAAGAGGATTTATTAATTAATAAATTAATTAAAGAATTCGAGGAAATGAGTAGTAATGGTTCTAATATAGTGTTGCTAATTGAGATCAATTGGAAGGTTATGTTATACATACATGTACAACTGGAAGTCGGTCGGTAAATAATGTTTGTTATACAACTCATATCAAATTTATTATTATTAGATCATATTTAGTAGAATTTAGTTAAATATGCAAATCTTATGTGTATACCACAACAAAAAGTTTAAGCATTGTTAATATCTAGAATTAAAAAAATTGAGTGCCGATTGTTAAATATTGATGCCTAATTTTGTCGCGTAAAATAAATTTTTTTTTTTTATAACAAAAAAGAAATAAATGTCAAATGTAATCAAAAATGTCGAAAAAAAAGCAGAAAGGGTGAAGTTTAGCTGTATTTTTATGAAATTGACACACAAGAAGTAATCAACAATGAATAGTATTTTAGATTTAAATAGTGGTTTTTATTTTCAATAAAATTGATAATAAATATATTACTATTTATGGTATTTGTAGTATATTAAATTTCGCATCACTAAATAGCATAAATTAATTATTATGGATCAAGTTTTTTTAATACTTGGCTTAAAGTCAGGGCCGGACCGGGCTTCAAAATTCGGACTTATGCAGGCCCTCTAGTTGCTCAGTCAATTCTCACAAATGAAATTAATCTCTTTAAATCGATAACGAAACTTCCTTTCTTTTATAACGGCTTATCTTGTACTATTGTGCCTGTCTCAACATTTCTTTTTCGATTTGCAAGGCCTCGAAATCACTATAATAAATGAGATTTTGATTAGGTTTGTTCTTCTCACATTTCATTTCTATCAGTTTCTTATTCTTCGGAATTATCCTCCGCATCATCGATATTCACAGTGTTACGATGATGTCCTTCGTTCGTTTTTCTTGTAATCATTTTTTCTTTGGTTATTCTAATCAATATTTCGAATCGATTTTCACGAAAATTCGCTTTTGAAACTCGTCTGAGACATCAAGCTTGCATTTATGTTTCGAATTTAAAACAATTAAGTCATTTTGATCCGAGATCCCGTTTGTTTATTTATTAGTTAAATATAAAAAGCAAATAATTTTCAAAAATTTTATGTACATCAAGCTAGTTCTAGAAGGACTGTTAGATGCATCTTAGCGTCGGTTACCTGTTAGTTTTTTCCTTGCATCGGTCAGTTCAGTTCATGGGAGTTTTGTAAAATTACAATTTCTAACAATTTCTAAGAATTGGTCGTGGAATGGAACTTCGATAAACGAGGTCCGTTTGCTTGCATTAAAGATCATTTCCTTAAAAACTATTTATCTTGCTAATTTTTGTAAATACACTACACTCGGGAAAGTATCCGGTCAGCTGAAAAAATTTTTCGGTTCTTTTAGCACTCGATCCATTATTGAAATTAACATGTCAAGCGATTGTATATGTATCAATGATTTTTTTATAAGACATGCAAATAGCTTAATAAGTTCTTCTCATAATCCAATTATTTGTCTACATTTAATTAGTGTTGAATCGTGCAGCTTTTAAAACCTAGAGTCCGTTTATTCTTTTATATATTAAAGCTAACATATACATTTATACACGAATATAAATCATCGTCAAAACCAGGGGCTTATCTAAAAAAAAAAAAAATTTTAGCTAGTTAATATGTCCGACCTTGAGATATTTAAAAAAAGCTTGACCGAATACTTTTCCGAGGGTAGTGTATCACTTATTTAATGACTTCAGAAGTGACTTATATATATTGAGTCTTGTTTACTGAGTAATAGCATCAATTACTTTGTTAAGTGAAATTAAAGTTTACACCTAACTTATGTTCTGAAAGTAAATTTCTGTTTAACATAGAGATGCAGTTAATAGATTGTATCTTTCGAAATTAACACGTTTCACAATATCGGCTGCAATTATTTAATAAAAATAAATTAAAAAATTTTGTTTACAGGTCCCGGTCGAAAATTAATATTACAATATTCCTATCAATTAATGCTGTTAAAATATAATTAAATTTTAATATTATTAAAGTATATTTAGTGATATATAAAATATAATCGGGTGTACAGGTAATCATAAATCAAATCACATTCATATCTTTAATAGGTACAACGACACGTCCAAAAAATTTAAGAATTTTTCTTAACTATACCCATTAGACTTGAGTTTTATGGTTCCATTTTTTTTTCACTTAAATATATATAATTACAAAAAATGTGCCGTTTCTGATACACGAGATATAATATAAATGTTGTAATTAGCTCATATGAAAGCTTTTGCAACTTACTTTATATGCCAAATATGATTGTCTGGCCGAAAGTGTTCTAATATTATTTTTCCCGGAAATTTTCACTACAATACTAGGTAATGGACGTCATTTTAAATTCACGTGATAAAATAATCGTAATAGATCGGCAGTGAAACAAAATAAACATCGACTCAAACAAAGAGCGACGGACACGTGTAACTATTATGTAACTATACGTTACACTCCGGAAAATTCTATTTAATATTTTGTGTCAATGTTACACGGGTCGACTCTATATATTTGTCATTTAATTTTATTTTAGATTTTTATAAAATAAAAATGTCTACTGATATATCGTTAAATTGGATAGAAAATTGTATAAGGGAAAAGCACATAAAATATTACGAATACGATAAATTTATAAATATAGAAGAAATTGGTAAAGGAGGATTTGGCAAAGTTTATAGAGCTAAATATGGTGGAAAAATTTTTGCACTAAAATCATTTAGTTCAGACAAGTTTACTACCGTTGAAGAGATTGTTAACGAGGTTTTAATGAAAGTTTTACCAAGAAAATTTCTCTCTTTTTTTTTTAGTTTAATTTACTTCGAGAAGTAGATTTTAATGATAATATAATACGTTTTTATGGAATAACAAAAATTAATTCAGGTAATAGAACCATTTCTACAATCATACGTAATGCTTTTCAAAAGTTTAGATGCGTCTACTTATAACCAAAAAAAAAGAAAATCTTTGATAAATATCCTTTATTCTAATATTGAATTTTTTTTTTTTTTAGATAAAAAATATTTATTGGTGTTAGAATATGCAGAAGAAGGTACTCTTCATAAATATTTAAAAAAGAATTTTACCAATCTTAATTGGCAAGATAAATACAGATTAGCGTTCCAATTATCAAGCGCGGTAGAATGTTTACATAATGAAGGAATAATACACAGAGATTTACATTCAAACAAAGTACTTATGCATCAAGGTTCAATCAAATTAGCGGATTTTGGATTAAGCAAACGTAAAGAAGAAAGCACTGTAGGATCGTCAAAATTTTTTGGTGTAGTCCCATATTTTGATCCAAAAGGATTATAAAATACTTCACCAAATGAAGGAAAGCTTTTCTCATCAAAAAAATATAGATTGAATGAGAAAAGCGATGTTTATAGTGTTGGTGTATTATTATGGGAATTGTCTAGTGGGAAAAAAACCTTTTACTGGTGGTAAATATGATGTATCTTTAGTTATTAAAGTTTTAGGTGGTGTGAGAGAAGATATTATTAAAGGTACACCTAAAGAATATTCTGACCTTTACACACGTAAGTAAGTGAAACTTTGCAATAAATTTTATAAAGTGAGTGTTATTTTATTAATTTAATTTCATTAATTAGAATGTTGGGATGGTGATCCAGATAAAAGGCCGATAATTCAAGAAGTTGTTTAAACTTTGAAATCAATAATTTCACCGAAAAAAACTCAAGAAATTACAAGCGTTGATTTGGAAACATATGAAAATGATATTTCTCTCAGTAAACAAATTTGGAATCAAATAATGTTACAACGACAGAAATATCTAAACTTATAAAGGAGTTTCCTGATATAAATTTGGAAAGTTTAATAAACAACTCTGATCAATCAGAAACAAGAGCAAATGAAGCAGCAGATCCAATAGATGTAATTATAAATAGAGTAAAGGAGGCAGTTGTAATCCAAGCAGTTGTAAACGAGGCAGTTGCACCTTTTATACCTCTTGTAATGAAGATAACTGATTTAACAAAAGAGATAGCGGACGCTTATGATTATGTTCAAAAACTTGTGGTGCATTAGTAACTACAGTTGAAGATGTAGAATTTATGATTAGAGGATTGATAAGGCAAAAAGAGAAGAATATTGAGGAAATTTTTCAGCCAAAATTATTACAATTCCTTTTGTAAATTAATAAATTGTTTAAATCAAATTAAAAAATTTTTTAATGATATTTCCCAATTATCAGGATTTAAAAAATTTGCTTCAAGTAGTAATATTAAAGAAACCTTTGAGAAAATTATAAAAGATCTTGACAGTTGCTCGATTCATTTAAAGCTGGCTAGATCCATTACAAATGAACAATTGATTTCAATTTTAAGTTCTGATATTATTGAAATGAAGAAATTTTTAGACAATATTGAAGGTGGTATTACAATTATGATGAACCATACCACTGTATTACATGTTCAAGAAAGGAAAATTGTTGTTAAAGTTGATAATATTGAACGGATGACAAAATTATTAAACAAAATAACGAACCCTTAAAATACAAGGCGGACAAGGACAAACATGAACTTAATTTTACCTCGCTCAACGGGGAAATTGATACGATTCGTTATTTGAATGAAAGAAGTTTGAATGTAAGAAGTTCTACATTTGAAACTGAATCCAGTACTAGTGGACAAATTGAACCTTCGGAATTGAAAGATACTGCGGAACCCTATAAACGTAAAGTGACGGTTTTAAAAAAAATTTATAAACAAAAAGATGTTGCTTGTAAACCCACTCATCGGGACAAGCTTGACAATATGCAATTGAAAGCTTGTCCATATATTATTCGATTTTATGGATTATCAAATTAGATGTTGGAGATGTAATGGTTTTTGAATGGGCTGAATACGGAACTATACGTGAATTATATCAGAAATATACTATTGAATGGGATGCAAAAATTTCTTTCGCAAAGATCTATCTGTTGTGGATTAATTTTTTTACACGCTGGTATGATTTTTTTTTCATTTAAAGACATCGAAATATGCCAGTTTAAAAAATTGACATAAATTTGTCTTTTTAACCACAGTCGGGATTTTGCATCATGATATTAAGTGTGAGAATGTGTTAATTACCGAAGGAATGCAACCTAAAATTTGCAATTTCAAATTTTCACGTGAAGTTCGTGCTGATACCAGTCAAATTGGTGATTTGAATGCTAACATACATTGGTTAGCTCCTGAAAAGTTAAAGATGATAAAACTAGTTATACCATTCAACGTGACATTTTCAGGTTAGTAAATTGACCTTTTGTTTTGTTATTTTTTAAAAAAAAAAAGAAAAAGAATTTTGATTCGATTCTTAAATTTTTTTATTTAAATCTTATTAGTTTTGTGATGCTTCTTTGGGAGCTTGGCTTTCAAAAAATCCCTTATGTAAATATGAGCATATCTGGAATACAAAATCACGTTTTAAAAGGTAATAGAGAAACGTTGTGCTCTGAAGATTCTGATCCCATTCAAAGAGCGTATTGTGAAGTTATTAAACTTGGTTGGACGCATATACCATCATTACGTCCAGGAATTCAACATGCTACAAGCCTTATATGAAAAATATGTCTTAAAAATTTCTGAAGATTTACAAAATTTATCTAATTCTGATTTTAATTCAATTATACCATTAACACCATTAAAGGAAGGTTTAGTGGCTCACAAAAAACATGACTATAACAAGGCGTGGAAATGTTTTGAAGAACACGCAAAGGCTGAAGATATGTTGGCGAAATACTGGCAAGGATATTATTACTCGGAAGGAAAATACGTTGAAAAGAATCTTTTTAAGGCTAAGGAATTATTTAAAGAAGCAGCAGATGATGGAAATGCTGATTCTCAATTACGTTATGCATTTTGCTTAATTGATAAGGAAAATATCATATTGGTTATTATGAGTTTTTAAAATATTTGAAAATGTCGGCTGATAATTATAATTCCACTGCCCTTTATAATCTCGGTGAAATTTATTTCAATGGTAGGATGGGTTTTGAAAAGGATCGAGAAAAGGGTATTCAATATTTAACATTGGCTGCTTTACAAGGTCAACCGAAAGCAAAAGATGTTTTGAGATGCAATAATATTGATTTATTTTAATAATTTATATAAGATTTATAAAGCTTTATTTGAAGAAATATTTGAAGTTTTTCCCATGTCGCGAAATTTTATCATATAAGCAAGTTGCAAACAATTAAAAATAACTACATTTTGTGATAATTGTTTTATACTTATATAAATAAGTGGACAAAGAATTTTATTTTTTAAAAAATATATACATTTGATTGTGTAACTTTTGTGAAATGAGACATTTCAATCGAATTGTTTTAATTTGTCTTTTGCCTTTTTCTAAAATTAACAAAATCTTTTGTAATAGACATATTATGTGTATGTCTAACCTTATTTCAATAAAATTCTCCTTCGGCAATATATTATATGTTCGAAAATTTAAAAACTTATGTTCGATACTGTGTGACCTGGCAAAATTTTTCAATTTGGCTGAATAAAATGGAAAAAATGCGTTCATTTTTACAATATTTTGGGAATACCGTCAAAAAAAATTTCCGATCACAAGTCTTATTGGAAAAATTCGGGTAATTAATATTTAAGCTCAACTGATTATATAGCTGATGAATTTAAAAATAAAACAAAAGTTTTGCAACTCACTAGAATCATAGATTCGAATAATAGTTGTTTGATTAAATAATTTTATTATGTAATTAATATAAATGATAAATTCACATGATCTAAAAATGCATCTCAACTTTATAGCTTGAATTATTGAAATATTTAATAATTATTTCACGGAATGAAATATAAAGATTGAATTAATAAATAACTCGAGTTTAATAGCAAACCTCCCATATGCTTAGGATAAAGTACTTTTTCGATTGATAAAACTAGTGATGTCAGCGAGTAAGTTCTGTAAACAAAAAAAAAAAAAGAAGTAGAGTCGACTCCACTAGTGTCAAATGACAGATATGACTAAGGCCGTTCTCAATGATTTATTGAATGATTCGATTGGCTTGATGATCATTAGAGTTGCGCTGATTGGTTAAATTTCCATTGAAAAAGCTTGCACAAGCGGGTACTTCTTTCTAGTGCTCGGTTTAAGGCATATTTCGAACTCGAACCCGTTAATACTCGAATTTTCAAGAGTAATATTAATGCCGAAAATAAAAAAGTGATAAAGTTTATTTTATTTTTTAAAAAATTTATTATTTTTTTTTGTGAGCATTAATCCTATTTTTTTTTTATATCTTTTTTTCACCAGGATTTCAAGCACATACAGGCGCGAATTGTATTAGCTTTAAGACCACAACTTTTGGTTGATATCAGTTCGGATCCGCCAGAAAAAAACTCGTTCTACTGGAAACTTGTTGCTTTACAAAAAATGTATTAGTTAATGGTTAATAATCGATAATTTTTTTTTACCTGTAATTGTTCAGCAATACTTTTCGTATTCTAGAAGAAGTTGTAACGTCGATAAGTTTACTAATTATTTATAACAAAAAAAAAAAATTCTAGCGCGTCGATATTGTTTAAATCAGATCGCCTGATCAACCGGGTTACCCGGGTCGACTCGGGTCAAGCGTTTTTTTTTATAAATAGAAAGTTGATCAATTCTAAAATACTAGGTTGTTTGCTTAAGATTTCAACCAATTAAAAAAAAAAAAAATAGTTAAAATAATTCACTTTTATTATATACTAAATAGGAAATGCTTCGCTTAAAAAAAGCAAGAAAACATTGATTTTATATATATCGATTACAAAAAATTTCTGTTCCTAAAATATTTGGTGACAATATATGATATTTTGACATTTGTAATATATGTAATTTGCTACAACTCCTTTCTTTTCACAGTTTACTGTTTTTTTTCCCTTTGATAAAACTAGTGATGTCAGCGTTGGTGTCGGAGCCAATGACTAAGTTCTGTAAAAAAAAAAAAAAAAAAAAAAAAAAAAGTAAAGTCGACTCCGCTAGTGTCAAATGATTGAGATGACTGAACCGAGTCAAATTAAATTACATTGTTGACGAATAAGCTCATCGGACAATTCCAGCCGACTTTCAGTACAATAAGAGCACAAATGATCCTTCATTGAGGCTAGACTTATTAAAATTATATAAAACTTTTATACAATACAGTTTAAGATATTATTATTGGTATATAAAATTTTGATCAAATTTGAATCAGTAGATTTTAAGCAATTTAATATAAAAAATGATACTCAAAAACTTTTATTTACTGCAATCAAATTTTGGTCAATTTATTCTTTTTTTTTTAATTAAAACTAAAAGATAATGAAATAGACTAAAATTTTCTTAAAAAATAGTTCAATTATCCTTGAATTTTATCACATGAATCGTTTTGTAGTTAGTGGAGGAGGGGGGTATTGTTGACATTAGTAAATTCATCCCCGTCCCAATGAATTGGTGTTTAAGTGAAGATAGAAAAATTACACTCTCAAATATAATAATTAATAATGAGTACTTTCCCCCAAAAAAAAATCTATCCTCAACGTTTAACATCATATAATTTGGAATATCACCATCATTAGATGATAATGATGTACGACTTTAAATTATTTGTTTATCCTTTAAAGTTAGATTGTTAAGTACGGCAGAAGAAAGAGAAACAAAAAATGTTAAACAATTTTCAAGGCAAATCCTAAAACCATTTTTTCTACTTTTTGTTTAACTCCGCAGATAATTCATATTGAGATCATCATCGCCTACAAATATTGCCGTTGTGGATACTGGGCCGCATTCATTTCACCGACAAACAATTTACCGACAGTTATTTCACCGACAAACTTATCATAATCATTTCGCCGACAAACGTTCTACCGACGATCATTTCACCGACATTCCAAAAAACATATTTTTGTAAGTTAAAAAATTACAATAAATGCTATAATTTATATTTTTCAATAAAATTTGATTATTTATTGTGAAATATTTTATTTATTTATTAACTGCCCATCTAAATTAATATATAACATTGATAAAATATGTTATAATGTAAAATTTAATAAAAAAAAAAATAAATAAACTATCGACGAAATGATCGTGTCGATGGAATGATACTGGCGGTGAAATGTTTTTCGGCGAAATGAACATGTCGGCGAAGTGATTGTGTCGGTGAAATAATCGTCGGTGAAACGTTTGTCGGTGAAATAATCTTGTCGGTGAAGTGTTTGTCGGTAAAATAATTGTCGGTAAAACGTGTGTCGGTGAAATGAACCGGACACGTGAATACTACGCAAGAAAAAAAGGCCACATGAAAGAATTACTAATTCGTTGTTTGTAATAGGATAAATTCGCTGTAAAATAAATAAAAGCTTTTTTTGCAAATGATAACATTGAAAATTATGTAAAGAATAGAGTGTCTACCAGCTGAAGATTTTTCGCAAAAATCTTTTTTTAAAATTACCCGTACGTTACATTTAGTCCGACAATGGTTCTTGTTCTTAAACATGTTACAAGTAATACAAGAAAAAGTGAATAGATTTTTTTAATTCACAATAGATAATAAGAAATTGTTTGTGAAACGAAATTTAGTTTTTTGAAAATTTTATTGATAAAGACTTTTGATCGTACAAATAAAATAACTGATTATAACATTTCTTTTTCAAATATTATTGGAGGGTTCATTAAATAAATGACACATCGTTATTAGTATCTTCGTCGCAATCGTAGAATTAATTGTTTGCAGATCCCTTAACAGCAAGTGATGAACGTTTTAACTAAAAAAAAAAGTGAAAAAAAATCAGTAAACCGAACAGGTAAACTTAATAAGTATTTTGGCATTGCTATAACCAACCAAAGGTTGATTTGTCTCCGCAAGGGAAAATAGCAAGCTATAACCAACCCAAGTTTGATTTGTCTCCGCAAGGGAAAATAGAAGAGGCCTTTCAATACAATAAGAGCGTTTGGTAGTCACGAACGATCCTCACGCATGCGTCATCAGCTCTCCAAACTAATGAAAGCGTGTAAAGGCCATGCAATCCGGAAGGAGGCTTCGGCAAAGGGAAGGTTTGACATCGTCGTTAGATTGTAGAACGAGGAAATACTTACTTTACGACATATAAAGGAAAAAGCCAACAAAGAAAGGATAGGCGATAAAAACATTTTTTTTTTATTTTTATTATTTTATGTGAGAGACTGGTACCAGTATTTCTTTCTAAAATATTTCCTTTTTTTTTTTGATCGCGTTGTATTTCTAAATTGGGGTTTGGGTTCGATCACGATTTTTAGCCGAATTACGATGCCCTGTGACAAATAATATGAGACAAATAAGAAATCACGTCCCAAAATAGAAAAACAGAGGTGTGACTTGGCGTGACAAATATTTTGTAAAGTCACGTGATATAACTCGGCTTTAGCCAACCGTCCCTGTAGCCAGATTTTATTTGCCGGGTCGTATAAACTTAATAAGGGTGTTTGCTAATCCTCTTAACTAATCTATATTCTACCCTAATCCTAATCCTAATCCTAATAATAAATACCCGGCAAATGAAATCTACGATTTTTTACGGGCGACGCTGTGTTCGTTCGGCTTTTAGCCATGTTAGCCATATGAACGTAAATGTATAATTTTTCCCTTCGCTTTTCGGAATGACATTTAAAAGAGTAATTATATGATATATCTGTAGTTCGAAAACACTCTAAAACATTATAATGATATAATAATGAAATAATATTAATTTATAGTTATTATTTAATATTAATACAAATTTTAATAACTTTTATATATTTTTAAACATTTTCTAAAAGGAAACAACGATGATGTTCAATATATAAAACAGAATTCCTCTAATAGTTTAGGTCATAAAAGAATGTTGTTTGCCTTCAGGAGAGATTTGTCAATAATAATATTAAAAGGATTATAAGGATGAAAAGCTATCTAAATGAAATAAATTAAAAATAATGTCGATTTATATTCGTGTAACATTTACGCGAAAAGAACAATAGGTGTCACAAAACTGTCACATTTCGATCAACAATGAGATGAGATGTTCTTTAATCAACACTTTTTTAGTCTATAATAGAGAAACTTTTTTTTTTTTTTTTTTTTTTTTTTTTTGTTTATTAAATTTTATTTGTGAAACCGAATATTTCTTAGGCATAATAAATATAAAAGAAGTAATTTGCATATGTAATTATTTTACTTTTTTTTTTTAAAAAAAAAAAAGACCTTAAATATATCATAAATAATAATGTAAAACTCGGAGGAAACGAGGAAAAACGGAAAATAAATAAACAATAGTAAGAAAACGAAAGACGTGATTATAATAAATAATAAAAATAATCAATAACAAATAACGAGAACGTTTTAGAAATGACGAAATCAAATCATGCAAGTAGCCAGCCTTGCTAAAAGTACAAAAAAAAAAGATACCAATGTTATTAACTCGACTTATTTCCTATACTCGGTAGTTGGTACACCACCAATCATCTCGAAGTTATTATTGTCCCTTTCTAGGTCAACGACTTCGCCAGCGCCTTGTTTATTATAAAAATCAAAATTAAAAAATTCATCAAACTCTTCGTATTCACTTGCGTATGGAACATCACCAACATTTAAAGAGGAATGTGTATATGTAACTTCAGATATTTCAGATTGGACAAGTTGTACATTGGTATGAACAAGTTGCTCTTCATATAATTTTTCAGTTTTGATAATGGGAGTTTCGATAACAAACGCAATATTTCCATGTTGTTCAAAGGATTTTGTTGTAAGGTGGTTTGTACCGGAAGCGATCTCCTTATTTACATAATCTTTTGCGGCTGCGTGAAAATGTTTTCTTTTTTGCGAGTCATTTTTTTTCCTCCATTTTGGTGCGGTTTCTTTGGAGATTACTGTCATTTTAACATTTTTCATTCGATCGATTTCCCCTTTACGAAAATGAAAATATGCATTGGTATATCTAGGCATATTGCTACAACAACGAAAAAATATCTGAGGAATTGAGAATCTATACGTGAATAACCGGTAAACGTAAATTTTATTTGATTTTTATTCCTTTATTACTAATAGATGTTTCAAACATGAAATTTTTGAACATGAATCACTTTGAGTATTTATAATTTATCGATTTATTGTTGTAGCTACCAAAATTCAAACCTCATTATAAAAATAAAATGAAAATGGAACTCTAAAATCATTTCTAGATCGAAAGTTATATTTTTAAAAAGCATCGCAAAAAAAGCAAAAAGATTTTGTTTTCTCTCCTTAACCCATTTTTTCATTGAAAGTGAAATAGAAAAATCAATACTCCTTCTATACAGAAATTATTTTTCACCGGAATTTATCTCTATCTCTTTGTGTAGTTTTTGCCCGCTCATAATGCATCAAAAGGCTATTGTAGTTCGATCTATTTAAAGAACCTGTTATTGACTTAATTGTGATAAATTTAACATTATTTCTAAAAATAATATATTGACCAAATTTAATTGTTTAAATTGATTTCAAACTTTCCTTATGATTGACAGTCATTTGACATTTTTAATAAAGTAATTTTCTAGAACAATTAAAATTGTAAATTATTTAATCAGTTAAATTTCCCGAGAAACAAGAACCCTTGGCAAAATTGCCATATAAGGCCACGAAAAGTTTTTAAAATTATGCATTGTAATTTTTTTGATGATCGATCGATAAGCGTCGCGAACTGGGGTATTTTGAGATATAAAAGGTTAGATCAAAATTTTTTTTAATTTGCAGATCAACCCGGTCGAGAAAATTTATTTTTTTAAACATACTATTAATAAAATTCCGTCTTCTTATCTCCGAGCTTTTAAAATTTTATAGTAACCTGCATTTTTTACCTGATAACAAATTTATTTAGAATGTCAAGAAAGGTTATGAAACTTGATTTTTCTTTTTTAGAGAGAATTTCAAATCGAGATCAACATTCACGTAATTTTTTTTTTATTTATAAATAGTAACTGTTATTGTAACAATAGTTTTGACAATTACAAGAATGCCGTATTTTTTTGACAATCTAAGAAAAATAGTTAGTATATTTTAAAAATAATTCCTTTTTAAACACACTAAATAGGCAAGTTTCGCTCAAAAATAGCAATGTGATATATAATTAAAGAACGCCCATTTGTTTCCGGAATTTGCTATTATAGGAGGTGTTGAATGTCAGACTAGACATTCAGAAATACGTAATTTCCATATTGGTTGATTCTCTTTCTTATGATCAAATGACGATGAACCTTAATTCTACATAACTAGCATCATTTGGTAAACTTTGAAAGAGAACTTCAATCAAGCATTTTTGTATTGTTGTAATAAAAGGATACTTTGAAATTAAAGATTATTCTAACGTTCCATGAGTCGAGAAGGAAATAAATTTCCGAACAACGGATCAAGTTATTGAATAAATTTGGATTTTTACAAAACCATCAATGATATTATTACCAGACATGTCAGAGAAGGGGCGAGGTTTCGGACTTCAAAAGTTATCTACAGTTTTCAACCTTAATGAATGAATGCATAATATCCGAAATCCGTTTTTTGTAAAATAAACAAAAAAGAAAAAAGAAAAAACTATCGAAAAGGGTGGCGGAAAATTGATCCGACGAATGACCGTTTGAGAAATTTTTCAATGAATCTGGAGGATAATGTTTGTTTCGATATATAAAATAGTAACAGACATTATTTCGGAAAATACGTTCCGTCAAACAATTTTAAATATAAAATACCTGTTCAAGAATCATTACGCTCCTCGCCACTTTTTCTTCGAGTTTTTTTTTACGTGTACCATTTTCAACATCGTATTAATTTAAACATGAGCTTAATGTTTATTCCTCATGATACTGATACTCGAAGACAGACTAATAGAAAAAAGGCTCCAAATATGTTTATTTTATACCGTAAAGACATGATGCGTACGAAACCACCCATGATGACTATGACCAAGTTTAGTAAAGTGATTTCTATTAAGTGGAAAAATCTGCCTGATTATGAAAAAGCAAAATGGCAGAGAAAATCTCAATTAATTAGAGATCTAGGAGAAAATATAGATGAATCTATGTACGACAAATGTGAAGATTGCCTAAAACAACAATACCTTAACGTTAACTCGAGGATTCCTCAAACAGATGAGTGTCGATCCTGTATGCTCTCGAAAGGCACTAATTCCGAAACCTGTGATACTTGTTATAACGTTACGTTTAATTGTTATATCGATTTTCACACGTGATTTTCTGGTGACGTAATCAAACAATAATTTCCCCGAGATAATTTAATTTCGATTATAAAAAAAAAAAATAGACTTCGGTTCTTTAGAACAAACAAAAACGATTTTTAATTTAATTTTCGATAGACAAAAAAAAATTGGCTTCGGATCTTTAGAACAAACAAACGTTTTTAATTTAATTTTATTTTCAACAACCATATATTATTTTTTTAATCCCCCTATTTTAATTTAATTTTCGAAAAATCTGAAATGAACAAACGTGTTGATTTTTTTTAATTTTTGGTAAAATTTTATTTTTTTTTCTTGATATGGCTCACATCGAGAGCTTAGTATGCTTACCACTTTGTGGTATATTTAAGGTTAAGAATAATCATAGTTTTAGTTTATATTTTAAGCCTATCAAATGATCATTAATATGTATGCAAATATTTAAGTTTGGAAATACAAAATTTTAAATAAAAAAAATAAAAAAAAAATATATAGAGATTAAACCTTATCGTAAAGTGATTTTATCGAGATAAGATCAAAATGGTTTTTAACCATTCCATTTTGGTAGAACAATTTAAGGTGCGGGTTAATTTTAAAACCATCAGTTAATTGATCAATGGTACCAAAGTTTGATGTGCATTCTAAAAGAACCTTCTTTGGAACATCATAAACATCATATTCATATGAAGTTTCATTAAATCAGACTTGATATACGGATGTTCCTCGTAATCCACACATGTCGATGATTATTTATATTATCTTTCGAATATTAATTTAATCCGAGATTACAACTTATAAATTTGAACTCAAAGTTCGTTGGTACAAACATTCATTGTCCTATCATGCAAAATCTTTTGTAAAGGAAAATCACAAACCATTAATAAAATCTTTTAAAGCATTTTTGTCATTAAAATAAATCTAACAAAATTTTATTAACCAATTTTAGATAAAATGAACCTAGAAATAAAGAAATACAATCTATATTTCGGATACATTTCATAAATACAATTTTTTATTGCGTAAAGGAGGCCATTACTTCGAAGCACAAGCTGATATTTATGTATTTCCATAAAGCAACTAACAATTACAAAATGATTCTACAAACAAAAAATTTTAGATTCGACAAATGATAGTGTTGTATTCAGTTCTTTCGTTTATGTATTTATAAACAATTTTGTAATGAAAGCAGAAGGTATTAATTGAATAAAAATGAAGCAATTATGAAGTAAAATGTACAAATATTTATTTAGTAATATCAAATTAATCAGTGTTGCCTCAACGTCGACGATCTACACTTTCGCTATATCATTATATTAAACTAAGTAAATGCCAATCAATTAAAAACTGCGCAATTACGAATTAATAAGTCGGAAATTAAAAAAATAATAAACGAAGTTACAAATACGAAATTTAAAACGGCGAAAGCGAAAATATCGCGAAGGGATTAAAGGAAGGACTATGTATGCAGGATATAACGTGGGCGAACGTGAAATGTTGAGCTGTTTAAGGATTTCCGGCTTGTATATATATAAAAAAATAATTAGGACATCCTGGCGTCTGATTCCTACCAGTCTGGCCAAGATTGATCTACAAAGACCAACCACAAATATCGAAAATAATTTAGAGAACTAATTTGGTGGAATTATATTAAATGTAACAATAGTCAATTCACAGCAAAATGGTCCCTTCAACTTACTTGAACGAGAATACTTGAATAATTGTCCATTTAGATTTAATATTAATCATAAATAATTATAAATAGAATAATATTTATAAATACTGTTATATTATTGATAGCTTATATTGTTCATGATCATAGTTTAAATAACCTCTCTCCACCACGGCAAAGTATAATGATTATATACGGCCGTATAATTATCCCATTCAATACGATTTACGCTCAACACGTATTTCACACGACAAAATTCATTTTAAATATCCAAAGTGAAATCTTGGATTAATATCATAATCCCTTCACCTAATAATTATTTTAAAAGAAAATAAATGTTATCGAAGGTGATACATAACAATTACCTAAGAATCAAAAAATCCAATACCTAATCGTCCTCAATAAAAAAAAATCCGGAAAATCATCTCTAGCCTCAATCTTCGTCACGCTTTTCTTGTAATCTCCAGTTGTATCTCCAAGTCATTTAAATTTAAATTCTTCGAATTAACATTCAAATTAAATATAATCTCCATTATGGAATAATAATTTTGATCTTCAGCGTCGTCCCATTCTTGATTAACAATTTTAAGCAAACGCGTTATACACAAAGACATGTAAGATAAATTTAATTTTGTTTGATAGAAACTAGTGCTGATAAATAATGAGGCATTTAACCCCACGATTATGATATTAATCATATAAATAATAAATACTATCTTGTAAATTATATTACTTGAATGCTTGATGCTGCAAAGAATCAAGATGCAGATTGTTATATGTGCTAAAAGTGAGTAAATGATAAAAAAAAATATTATTTTACAATAATTTTTATTGGCCAGGCAGTTTTCAAGATCATTAAAAGTCGGGCCAAAACCTTTCCACAAACTTAAGATCGGTGAAATTCCCAGGAGGGAAAAATAAGACACACCGAGTATTTGTCGAGAATGTTGACGCCATCTTTTCAAATAAATAAACACCCGAAATAAAATAAAGGGTGGCACAATAAGAAGAATACACCAAATACATTCTGACGTCGTTCCCTTAATACAAAAAACTTCGAAACATATGAAGAGGCCTAGGAATAAAAAGTCATCAATAACCTTAATTATAATTTTCAACCACCCTTTTGTCTCACTAAATATTAAAATAAGAATAAACGAGGGGAAAATTGAATTAATAAAAAAATCAAATACATCTGGTTTAGGATCGTATTGAGATTGTTGAGATTGAACAATTCCTATAAATGATGAAAATATTATAACCTTTGCAAATAAACTAATAATCATATTCCTCGAGTTTTTATTATGAAATTCACAGTTAAATTTAATTCTCAAAAATAAAAAAGAAAAAAAATTCTTTTGCTATATTTATTTGTGGCTTATTTAAATATATCGAAAAAGAGATTTCCAAAAATAGTCTAAAACATAAACAAGAATGAATATTACTCGTTAGTATTTTTAATTGATGCATGAATAAATTGGTGTTACTAAATAAACTATAAATATCCTACCCACCTTCATAAAATTTTTTCATATAACTAAAAAAAAAATTCTCTGGCTGATGTAATTCCTATTCCCGCTCTAAGTAAACTTGCATAACATGCAATAATACACCCTCCATACATAATTTTTAATGTCTAATGATAAGTTTGTTAGGTTTTAGCTTTAGAAAAATAATTTTTCGAAAAATATAATTGTGGCGCAGCATAGTTAAATATCATATGATTGGCTAATACAGTCAGGGGATATACCAAAAAAGGAAACGGGTTCTAGAATATTTTATTGCAGATTCTTGAAATTTGATTGGCTCATATATTCATTTTATACTTGTATTTTGAAAAATTTTTTTACAACATTTGTTCAATATAAAAAACTTATAAAACAAATAGAACAAGACGTCTAGTTTCCATAATCACAAATAATCCCACATAGTTAAGTCCATTTTGTTAAAGTAAATGAAATTAAACTGAGTATTCGCTTTATATACTATTAATTAGAGTAAGTGAAAGAGTACAACTAATTCAAATAATTTTTTTTGTAGTGTCTACTTATCTGAAACCCAAAGCAAGAAACCTTCAATGCATTTTTGCGGATCTAGTTGAAAAATATGACGAAATTGGATTAAAACCTTGTGAAACTAAAGAAACACAAAAATGGAGATATGCTGATAATGAAAAT